TTTTTAAATATTTGAGATAATTTTTTAAAATATATTATAAAAATTTTAAAAATGACCATAATAATCTGAATTAATTAATGGAACTAAATAATTAATTGAGTTAAAAAAAATGTTTCAATCTACTCCCAGGTGAAAATATTTAACAAAATACAAAGTTTGGTTGAGATACTGAACAAATTAAGATTTAACCCTTATTCACCTTTTCATCATTTTTGGTAGAATGAGTTTTTCCACTGTAAACGGTCATAGTATCACGTTGACTTCGAGAAACAGCCTGGATCTCACAAGTTAGCCCAAACTGATCAATTTATCCCGTAAACTACTGGATAAAAAGAGTTTGAGCTCTTTTGGCTGACTTTTAGCTTTTTCGATATTTTCGGCTCCTCCACTCATTTCATAAACTATTCTATCGTTGCTTTACGTTGTTCACAGTGAAAGAATAGTGCAATAGATCTTGTGGGAAAAATGTTACTAAATTTATACATACTCGATCAAATGGGTGATTTTCTTGCCCTACTACAAATCGAATGAAAAGCATACAAGAAAACCCCTACTTAAATGAAATATACAAGTTGATGTGATTGTAATAAATCCTATAATTCAAAGATAGTATAGACAATTTATTAAAAGTTATGGGGAAAAATTAATTATTTAAATTTTTTAAAAAATTAAAAGTTAATTATTTTTAAATGATGTAAAAAAATATCAAAGAAGATAGTGAAACCTCGAATTCTCATTCAAATTGTAATTAAGGTTAAAAAACAATTCAATCACAACTACAAAATTTCATCCAATCCAAACCATACTCAATCATTATTTAAAATTTATCATTTGGTTTTACACAATCAGGTAAGAGTTCATGAGAAAGCATCGAAGATTTGAGAATATCAGGCGTTTGCATCTCACAGCAGTACATTCGTAGAGCCTTACGCTTCTTCAACGGCAACTGGAGTTCTAAATCAGTGACAGTCTCGGTTGCTTTAACATCATCACGAGGCCTCTTCTCACGACGGCGGTCAATGGTTCCGTCTAAACTACTTTTGTGCATTAATGGTAATCGAATCTTCAAAGATAACTTTTTCTTACATTGACCAGCATTGTAAAGTTCATAAGGAGGAAATGGTGAAAAATTCTGATCAGTTTTTTCATCATCAAGATGGGTCGTTGGATCTTTTTTAGTAAACTTGATTTTGAGGATCATTTTCACGAGGATTTATAAATCTCTAAAAATTTTAATCGAGTTTAGATGATATATTGAGTTGTGAACGGGAGCTGCTAATTTATAAGAGGGAAAGAAAGAGAGAGATCGGTAAATTTATATAAATCTTCCATTCAAATTTGAATATATTCTCACTAGATGGATCACTATTTATTACATCTTCCATTCAAATTTGAATATATTCTCACTAGATGGCTCACTATTTATTGCATCTTAAACCTTATCTTATATTTTATCTCTAAAAAACCTTTTAAATAATTATCCGTCTAAGGGAAGGACAGAGGAAATAGCCCTAAAAGGAATTTAAATGTATTTTATGAGAAATTATTAAAAGATTTAAATAAAATAAAAATCGGAAATATCTCAATAATTTCAAATTTTAATTTATTTGGATAGAAATAATATTTTTTGGGTTTGAATTTCTAACCTTTTAAGATTCAATATATCTTAATTAGTTGAATTTATATACTCAGAATAACCTAATCTTTAAATACTTGTATTAAAAATGTTAAAATTAATTATTTATATTTTAAAAGGTCATCTCAAAGTTATTATACATCTCCATTAAACTACCAGCTAATTAAGATTCTCTCTTTATTCATGTATTTTTTTTTAAATAATAAATTCCTTTTATATATTTACGAAAAATCTTATCGAAACAAAATTGCAACGCAGAGCTTCACTTTCCGATTTATTTAGCGGCTTTAAGGGTCACTGCCCAAGCCCGACACATCGACACTTGCAGAGAAAGGGTCATGGAGTTCGCCGGAAAAGAAGTGGTTGTCATCTCCGGCTGTTCCGACGGAGGCATAGGTCATTCCCTCGCCCGAGCATTTGCCGATCAGGATTGTTTGGTGGTCGCAACCAGTAGATCTCGCTCCTCAATGGCGGACCTGGAGCACGATCCCAGGTTTTTCTTACAAGAACTCGATGTTCTCTCCGACCAAAGCGTTGAGCGATTAACGTCTATTGTCATTGAAAAATTCGGTCGGATTGATATTTTGGTGAACAACGCTGGAGTTCAGTGTATTGGCCCCATAGCCGAGGTTCCTCTTTCATCTATGCAGAACGCATTCAATACCAATGTTTTCGGTGAAATGCTCTCTTTATCTCTGTCTGTCTAACAAATTACTTTCTCATCAATCTGTTAAGTCAATCGTATTTTAATTCTGGAATTCTTTCTTGTTTCATTTCACTTTTCATACCAGAAAACCATTTGATGTCGAAATTAGGGATTTGAAATTGTGAATCATTTGATGTCGAATTTAGACATTATTTTGAGATTATCATTTGATCCAATCGTTGTAACAAACGAACACTGAAGGATATCATCTTCTCTTCTAATCTACTGAGGTGATTAGTTTTTGGTATAGTTAAAACTAAGTTGTTGTTTGGATTTATTTGGTATTGAACTTCAAATTGTTTAAATCACTTTAAATATGCTATTCAAAACAATTATTTATACTAAAAAATTTGGAATTTCATTTGCAGGGGCCATGAGATTAATTCAAGCGGTGGTTCCTCACATGGCATCACGAAGAAAGGGGAAGATTGTAAATTTGGGAAGTGTTACTGTATTAGCACCTTTTCCATGGGCGGGTGCTTATACTGCCACTAAAGCTGCCATTCATGCCATTTCTGACTGTCTGAGGTTCGTGTTTATACCTCTTTGATTCACATCATTTCTATAATAAACAAATGTTTTGTGCTCATGAACTTCCCCAGAATGTTTTGCCTTGGCTTGGTCGATAAACACGATCTTCTTCTAGACCCTCACAAATGATAATTATAGGGAATTCAATTCTTAGCTTAAATTAACATTTTGGTGGATTAAGTTCTGATTCCTGAAGATTTATGGTTTATTGTAGCATGTTTATTCCACTTTTTTCCTTTTCTGATGAATATTGCTTAGTTGGATTTGAACATTTGGATGTTTTTTGTTTGTTTGATTGGGTATTGGGTTTGAAACTTTTTACTTTAGTTCAGGTTGGAAAATACTTACCTACTTCTGTCTTCCATCGACTATTTTATGTGAGTTATTTTTAGTAGCTGAAAGTTATTTAGAGAATACATTTAGCTATGAATGCAATTGTTATAGACCCATACAAAAGATCCAAATAACTGCATCAGTCAATGGAAGTTCCCAACTATTATGTATGCAATTATTTTTCTTCTTGTTGGTTGGATCTTTATGCTGAATCTTTGGTCTAACCATTAAGTTTTTAGTTTTTGGTTTTTGATAATTGAGTGTAACCGCCCAAGCCCACCGCTACTAGATATTGTTCTCTTTTTTGTTTTCATTTCTGGGCTTCCTCTCAAGGTTTTTAAAACGCGTCTACTAGGGAGAAGTTTTCACACCCTTACGAGGAATGCTTCGTTTGCCTCTCCAGCTGATGTAGGATCTCACAATCCACTTCCTTTGGGGGTCAGTGTTCTTGCTGGCAGCCTGGTGTTTGGCACTAGTACCATTTGTAACAGCTTAAGCTCCCCCCTACAAATATTGTCCTTTTTGGGGTTCTCCTCAAGGTTTTTTAAAACACGTCTATAAGAGTGAAGTTTCCACATATTTATAAGAAATGTTTCGTTCCCCACTCCACTAGTTAGATCCCATATATTTTTGGGTGAAAGAGTTGAACAAACTATCTTCTAACAATTAGATCTTGACAAAGTCGAACTAACAATTTGTCCTTTTGGTTACTACATTAAAAGTTTAACCTGAAACAAACTCCAAATAGGAGAAAACTTCATGGGTGGTTGGCTTAACTTCAACCAAACCTCTGGTAGAAACTTAGAGTATAGTACCCTCATTTCCTTATCAGGAGGCAACTTGAACAATAAAGTTAAGCCTGTAATCAATATTCGATTTAATTTTCTGACACATTTCATTTAATTTGCACATTTATTACACACGGTGAAGTTTGGTTGACCTTTTTGATCGGTATTTCTGCATTAAAGGTTGGAGCTGAAGCCGTTTGGAATCGAGGTTATCAACGTTGTCCCTGGAGCCATTAAATCAAACATTGGAAACTCTGCCGTAGCCGGGTTCAATCAGATGCCTGAGCTGAAGCTATTCAAGCCATATGAAGCTGCAATGCTGGCCAGAGCCAATGCCTCACAAGGCCCCAACGCCGCCCCCACAGCCGAGTTTGCAGAGAAGACGGTGGCCGCCATTCTCAAAAAGAAGCCGTCGCCTTGGTTCTCATATGGAGGCTATTCTAACCTCATGGCACTTATGTACCATTTGCCGCTCTCCATCAAGGACTTCATTGTGGAAGCCATGTCTAAACGAGCTTTGAATAGCAACAAATAGTTTTGTGTTAGTGACATGCATTTTTTTTAGGTCAATACATGTATGAAAAAATTAAATAATTAAATACTTAAAGTTATGCTAAAATCGATGTGAATTTGATTTAAACGTGAAAAGTTGTAATAGTCTGTTAGCAAATATTGTCTTTTTTGAATCTTCTTTTTTAGACTTCGAGATTTTAAAATAGCTTAATTAGAGTGAGATAGTGAAAACTAATGCCTCTCTTTATGTGACGAGACATGGTTCGTCCCTAGTGTTTCAAGTTGGGATGCCTCTTCCTCTTGCCATGTGGCATGATCCTTGCCACCTCACCAGTTAGACCAAGTTGGGATGCCTCTTCCTCTTGCCACGTGGCATGATCCTTGCCACCTCACCAGTTAGACGTGTCTAGTCGCCTAGGATACTTTTAAGAATAATAAATTATCCATATTCCTTGTGTGGGGCAATGTTCTCAGCGTTGTCCGATTCAACTTAGCTTGGTCTGAAACATCGAGCATCGCCTATGATTCGATTTATTGAGCGGTTGACCTAGAGTCGACTCTGCCACGTGTTATCTTGTTAGCCGTCCATTAGGGCGATCTTTTATGATTCACCCACCAAACTCAGCCCAGCCCAGACAAGACCAGCCCATCAATCTCCTGGATTTTAGTAAGAGATTAAACCGCCCAAGGCCCAGTCTATTATTGGGCCTACCAGAATCTATTACAACCCGCGGAAAAATTCTTTGTAGCTATACGGACACGTCTAATTAGGCGGTAAAATTCCGTTGCCATCTGATGTTTCAGTCGTCTCCGGTGATCTCTCTCCGGCCAAGCGATCGTTAATTTGATTCATCGAATCCGAAACTCAGCACTCGTATCAGGTCGGACTTTCCGCTTCCAACTTATAGTTACATTTAATCGCTTACTTGGTTGTTGGCTCAAACATCTTCGTTGCTTGCTGTTCTCACTGAATACCTAGACGCTATGTGGCGGAGGTACGGAAATGCGTCTGAACTACGTGTTTTGTCTGTTCTAATTTGCTCATTATGTTAATGTTATTTGTTCTTTAGTCATTTTGGTTGTCCTTCAAGTGCAACGTTTTCTTGTTTGGTTGAAAATGGACACGTTCTAATTCTTTGATCTCCCGAGGGTAATTGATATTCTCAACTGTTATGTTAAATGGAATTTGATGTGGCGATAAACGATAATTAGTTTCAATGTCCATGTTGTGTCTGAATTTGGATTTCCATGGTTTCAGTTACATCGGCTGATGCTTATAGATGACCTTATCGCATGATTTTCAGCAGGTCAATTCTGAAATTATCATCTCGTCAATCTGTTGGAAAGACATGGAGGCAGATTTCACCACAGGCAAGTAGAATTTCGCATTTTTGCGATCAGAATCCGTTTGGTACAATCCAGACGACATGAGAATTTGCAAACAGATGTTTGAAAAGTGTGTATCTGACTTACAAGCATATACGTAGTTCTTCATCTATATGCTTGTGGATGCATTTGGGCGGAAGCTTACAACATGGGGATCTTTTAACATACACAAACTTGCTATTTATGCTATTCTTTCTTGGCATTTCGATAATTTGCAACTCAGATGTTTAGAAATTAATTTTCGACTAAGCAGACACATGCATATGGCGTTCATCTGTTTGCAGCGTGCTTGTGGACATAGTTGTGTGGGCAGACTTTATTAACTTACTACATGGAGCCTTTTCTTTTAATATACACGAACTTGCTATTTGTACTGTTCTTGCGTCTGCCGTTGTTATTAATTTACAGTGTTAAAAATCTTGAAACCATTAATATATTTCTATTCTCATGATACACTCTATTTCGCCTTAGAGCTGTGAGACAAATAAAATGGGAGAATGAACTGCGTGTGTTGCAAAAGCCTGTCTCCAGTAAAATATACTGGCATGAGACTAAATATTTTTTGGTATAATTGTATACTTCTACCTATGTTTTCTGATTTGACAGGTTTTTGTTGCAGGTGCAATGTTGGCAGATATCACCTTGTATTTCTAAGAGAAGGGAACTTTCATCTGCACCCGAGCAAAATCTAAAGCCACAACCTACAAACGTGTCACCTACGTCTGGAAATTCTTTCCCAAAATATGTCTTTGGCGGTGTTGTTATTGGCGCTTCTGTTTTTGCAGCTTACCAAACTGGCTATCTAGACCAACTAACTGGTGGTATAGAGCAGAATAGTTCTGTAGAAACAACAAAGACAGTTCTTCTGAAAAGTGATTTGGACAATGTCCAACCTTTGGTGGTGCTCAAATTGGACTCATCCAGTAGAGAAGAAATTCAAAAATCAAATAGTCTTAGAGAAGAAACTGAGAGCTTGAATCCAATTGTGGAGTCCACTGAGCAGACGGTTGAGACAGATACCCACCTTCCTCATCTTGAAGCTTTGGATGAAGAGGAAGATGGTAGTCAGTTCCGAGACAGTCCCAGCATGGTGCCACAGGAAAACACTGAGGAGAAAGACTTTCCAGTATCTAGACAATGCATCAGTGAAGTGGAGGATAAGAATCTAGAATCTAAAACATCCACAGATGTAAATTTTGACATGCAAAGCACCAAGTCTAGTACTAGGGATGGGTCTGTTGAGGAAGTTAAAACTACACCAATGTCTAGCTCGACAGATGGAGCACCTGAACAAATTGATGTCAGAGTATCATCACAAGAAGATGAAAGTACAGAAGACAGACTGAAGGTAACTGAAGTTTATCCATTTGTTTCTTAAAATATATTCACTTCTTGCAAAAGCTGTGTAATTTAGTGTGAATTTGTCTATGCTGGTATCTATTCAGGAGTTGACTGATAAAGGTGAATCTGTAGAGAAGTCGAGCTCTCTTCTTGAGGCGTACCATTTGAAGGACAAGGCTGGCATGTCTTCTTTGGATGGAGGCGACAAAGATGAAACTAACAAGTTTTACAAAGATACAGAGGTCATTTACTTTTCCTTCTTTTCAATGGATGTACATTTTGTTGGAATTAAGTAAAAGAATCTTAGTCAAGCTCTAAATTATTGGTTATGAGATGTCAGGCTTTAATTGCTGAAATTGAAGAGTATAATGATGGCTACATATCCAAGGATGGAAAATTGATTGTTGATTTCTTACAAGCTATTCATGCTGCTGAAAAGAGGCAAGCTGAGCTGGATTCCCGTGTTTTTGCTGATGAAAAAAGAGCCCTGAAGGTATGGATCAATAGAAAATTGAATATCGTACAGTTTTGATTGTCTGTAATTAGTATATATATTAGTGGAATGTGACTGCCTGTTTTTGCTTTATACAGGAGAAGTTGGAAAAGGAATTGAGGGATGCTCAGGTTAGGGAACTTATGCATGCAGAAGAGGCCGCAATTTTAGACAAGGTTGCATTCCCAATTTACGAATTACATACGTGGACACTCTTGTAGACATATCAAGTGCACAGAGAACATGCATATGCCAGAATATGCATACGCGGACACTGTTATTGTGTTCCTCTCATTCTTATAAGTGGCCTTTTGGGCTTTTAATCATTTTCAGGAGTTAAAACGAGAAAGAACAAAATCAGCTGCTGCTCAGAAGTCTCTTCAAGAAAAATTGGAAGAAAAATATCAGAAGGAACTTGAACAGAAGGTGGAGTGTTTCTTTAATAACAAACAAGCTCAAGTTGCTGTTCCTTGAAAATAATTTTTAAAATTAATTTCATTGCAGGAAAATGAGGTAGAATTGAGGTTGAGATGTCGTGAAGACATGGCAAAGGCACAGTTAGCTGCGGAAATTGCGAGTGAGAAGGCTGCCCAGATAGAAAAGATAGCCGAAGCAAATCTTCATGTGAGCAATCTTGCATTAGTTATTGATTTATCAAGCTCAAAACGCCTTGCCCAGCCAGGAACTGGCTATAAGATAACATTAATAAAATTTACAGGAAAAAAGAAAAAAAAACTGGTTTGATCTCACAGTCGAGGGGAAATTTTCTTCATAAGATGCAGTATACTCATTAGTAATGTTTATGGAAATTGCTTCATGAGAATTTTACACAACAATAAATACATGTCAGCTGTACATTAGTGTAACAACTTCCTCAGCTTTTCCAGTGTAAATGTAAGAGGAGGAGTGGCTCTAAAAGTAAGGTCAACTTTGGATTATTGTATATGTAAGAAAAAACTTGGTTCAAGAGCCGCAGCTCAATGCCATGTGGCTTTTCTTGGTCCCTAAATGATTGTGGAAAGTGAAAACAATTTTTTTTCTCTCAATGTTGAAATATTGTTTGAGTGTCATTCTGACCAGAGACGAGAAGTAGTCTAGTCACAAATCTTCATTTTTCATACTGCTTTGATAAAATAGTTTATTTTTATTTTCCTTAGAAGAGAAGCGAACTTAATTGTCAATGTCGTGAATGTTCCAATATTGCTCTGTCTTTAGTCATGTTGTCATTGGTGCTGTTTACCGTCCTTAGTTTGTTCTTTTATTTTCCTTGATTGAATGCTATTGGCCTGAATACAGTCAATCAATCTATCAGTGGGCATTTTTTTATGTATAGAACTTTTTGCAGATAAATGCCCTGTGCATGGCATTCTATGCAAGGTCTGAAGAAGCTCGTCAGAGTCACTCAGCTCAGAAGATTGCATTGGTAAAGCTGTACTCCTACTTACTGATGATGTTTGCATTTCCTACACGTAGTAGAGAAATTGAAATCTAAACTTACTTTTGGAGAAAATTTTGTTTCCTTGCTGGTGCGTACATCTATATTAGTAGTTTCAATACTCTTGAAGGTGGTCATTGTTTCATCAGATTTACATCTTATTCATGCAAAGAGGGAACTAATAAACATTGAGATTAAACCGGTTATGAAAACTTATAGGTTAAGATAGTTGTAGCCAGGTCTCTCCCAAAGTATATGCATGCCTTATGTTCTAAATAAATCTAAAAAACTGTATGTTTTCAAAAACATAAAAAAGGGGGTACGAGAAAATTTGAAAACAATGTTAGTTTTTTATAAAATGGTACGCAAAAATTATGTTTAGTGGAGCTCCTTCTGAAAACATGGTCTGACTTTGATCTAAATATGAAGGCCAGGTTTTGACTCTGTAAAATTGCTTGTCTTGATGTTTGTGCTACAACATTTTCATTTTCTCTTCTTTTGTTGCTTCATGGGTGAATGGGCTTGGTTGTAAGCTTCGAATTGGAGATTCCTTTGTCGAAAATTTTCTAATTATCCTCTTTTTGTTATTTGTGCTGACTGGAGTATTTTCCATAAACTTTTTGGTATTTTCTGAAGATTTCTAATCCTGTCTTTTGTATTTCATTTGTTAAGAAAGTTGTTTCCTCTATATATTGGTAGTAAATCATTATGCTCAAGTGCAAGGTGTCTCGGGAATTTTAATGGCAGTAAATCATTTTTTATATTTTAGTAGCGCTCTTCCAACCTAATTAGTCTCAAAGTATTTATTCAACTATAAGTTATTAATCTTATAGGGGGCACTGGCTCTTGAAGATGCACTTTCAAGAGGTTTACCAATCCAGGCTGAAATAGAAGCATTACGAGTTGATCTTCAAGGCATTGATAAAGATTCTAACTTAGAGCTGATCCTTTCATCCATTCCGAAAGAAATATTGAATAATGGCTCAGATACTTTGTTGCGAATGACACAAAAGGTACTCTAATTTCTCCCCGGTTGGAAGACAAATTTTATCATTCTTCTCTCTTAAAATATTACATATTTTTATGATCCGCATCATTTTTCTTTTACTAGAATACTTTGAGGCTGCTTGGTTTCAGAGTTATTTGGTCATTTGGTCATTTGGTCATGGTGGCTACCTACCTAGAATTTAATATCTTATGAATTATCTTAAAAATCAAATGTAGTAGAATCATATGATTGTTCCGTGAGAATAGTCGAGATGCGCGTAAGCTGACCCATCACTCATGGATATCAAGAAAAAAATAGGGAAAACATGGTTGAATAGCTGTGGTTTTGAAAGTTAAGATGGAAGTGCGGAGAAAAAGGCAACGAAAGAAAACATTAGTGTGGTATAGAAGTTCTTCTATAGCTAACAACTTTTTTGGTTTTTGAGAAATTCTTACTACTTTCAACCTTATCTGTCAACGTGAATCGCCCTTCTGGGCAGTAAATCAAATCATCGTTTTACCTTTGCCATCTTTTCACCTAAATATATATTGAATCAAACTATCGTAATTCTATGATTTTATAGAACCGATGGTTTCTGGAATGTTGTTCAATGCTGTTTACTTGTAATTTACAATATTGATTATTTGATAATAAAGTTTTCATATTTCATGTGAAAGTATCAGCTAAACCACCACCCTGCATGCAGTTTGATACACTAAAAGCATCATTACGGCAATTGAGCTTGATCCCACCTGGTGGCGGTGGCATTTTGGCGCATTCTTTAGCCCGTGTAGCATCTTGGATTAAGGTACATTAAAAGGAAAAAAGCCTCCTTTAGCTTCCCACTTACTCTCCTCTACTGCTGTGGTTTCAGAACTTTCCTTGACCTCCTTTAGGTGAAGGAGGTTGACCAATCTGGCAGTGGGATTGAATCCATCATCAACCGAGTGGAGTCCTACTTAGCTGAAGGAAACTTGGCTGAAGCAGCACATACTCTAGAAGAAGGTGTGAAAGGCACAAAAGCAGAAGAGTTGGCTCATGATTGGGTTAGGCAAGCAAGAAATCGAGCCATCACGGAGCAAGCGCTTACCCTGCTTCAACTATATGCCTCATCAATAAGCCTTACATAATACCTCCGAGTAATTTTCCATCTCTCTGGTATCCGGGCACCGATTGTGCTTTCTTGATACTATATATTTGTTAGCTTCATGTCAAACCTCTTAGTCGAAGGTTCAATCTAATGAGCATCTGAAATTCTGTGTCTACCCAGGGAAATAACATGAGTTTTCAAGCGACGGAAGTGGTCAATTCTTGGTTTCCGCCATTCTTTATGTATTGACATTGATAAAATTTTTATGAAGAACAGATTTTACTCGAGAGTTTCTACTGCAGCGCGAAGAGAAGCAACAGCAGCAGCCATTCTTGCTCTTCTGAGAAAGGCCAAGCTCATTGTGAATGGAACTACTTGGTTCTTATTCTCACTGAGAAGCTCTGAATTTTCATTATACTGACTTGGCTTATTGCTTAGTTTCTAAATGCTTTGCTTTTGCTTGATCTGTTTGATTATAAGCACGTTTGGTGGTTAGCTCAGATCTGACTGGGGGAAGACCGAAGGGGACCTTGGTGGTATTATTTTCCTCTAGCTACTTGTGATTAGTTGTTCTCAAAGGATATTCATGTCTGAGATCGGGCATTAAAAATGTTTTAGGAATCGTCTTATTTAGAAATAGAAGATTCTTGTCGGACAAAAGACAATATTCTGACATAGGAGGCCTTTGTTGAGAGCTGTTTGGAGCCTAAAGTCTGATTTGTGGGGTTGTAAGTCTATGATTTTGAAAACTCTAGTCTAAGAAACTTGAGCTTTTGAGTAAAAGCTTAGGGAAACTATTTTGAGTACTGTGAAACCTTTTGAGTCTATTCTGTAAAATCAAGCTTGACAGCTCCATAGGGCAAATATAGGTTCAATATCTTTAGCAAAATACGCCCTAGTCTAAATCCTCGCCCTAGCTTAGCTATCTACTTTTCTGAAATTCTGGATTAAAATTAGTAAAACTATGGTTGGATGATGAACCCAACACAAGGATAGAGGAAAGAATGGGATTGGGTAAGGTGAAGTTGAAGTTGAAGTTCTTACTTTTCTAATTTTAATATTGCTTTAAAGATGCAGCCAGATCGGGTTCAAAAGTTCAACCATATTTGAACAAATAGAGACGACCATTTAATCAAGTGACCTTTCGAATTCTTTAAAGCCAAGTTTGTTAAAATTTAAGTATCGGTTCCGTTTCTTCTTTAGATTTCAAAATGTTATATTTTGCTTGATTTATTCAATTAGTTTCAATTTGATCACTACATTCTTACCATTGAATTTAGTTTTCATTCGGTTCAAAATGTATCAAAATTAATAATACAGGGACAAGATGAAATTTGACTTTATTTAGTGTGAAACTTAGATATAATAATATGCAATTACAGTCTTAATCAACTATATATATCATATAGTGGAAGTTTTAGGGTCTTAATCACAATTAGTGCCTAATCAACCACTATATAACATATTATTTGAGGATGGAACATGGGGATGGGCATGGGTAGAGAGAGAGTTTTAGAATGAACAGAAGGAACATGCGAGGTGACAGCTGAGCTAAATACAAAACTGCATAATAATGGCACTCAAAATTACCGAAGAATATTGTTCATAACATGCTCATAGCCGCCGCTGCAGTCCCAATCATTCCATTCCGATGAATGGCACTACCAACAAACTCTCCCCATAATTCCATTCTTATTATTACCATCTGCCTCCCAATTTTCTCATTATTTATCAATAATGCCCACATCTTTCACTCATTGTAAAAATTCACCTAAATCAACCGAGTATAATAAATAAGACTTTAATTACCATGGTAGACAAATAGTTAAATATAAGTGGTAGTCAGCTAGGACGCTAGCCCTCAAAAGGGTAGATTGTGAGAGCTCACATCGATTATTGGATGGAGGAATAAGTGTCATCGAGAACGCTAGGTCCCAAATGATGGTGGATTAAAAGATCTCACGTTGGTGGGAAAAGGGAATAAAACGTTCTTTACAAGGGTATGAAAACCTCTATTTAACAGACGCATTTTAAAAACCTTGAACGAAAGCCAAGAAGCGTAAATAAGATGATATTCGATAGCTGTGTAGTTGATTGTTACGGAATGAATTTGTTGGGGGTAATAGGGATTATTAAGTCAATTTTATATTATTTATTTTAGCTTCATTAGGTGCATCTCACTGTCCACAATACCTGTTCTTTTAATATAATACCTGTCTTTTATATGATTATAATTAAAGTAATCGTTGACAAAGTTTACAAATAAATAAATAAAGACGACGGAGGTGAAGCCGAGTCGAGCCGAGAAGCCTGCGGCTTGGCTTGTCGGTGGTGTATTAGTGAGTATGGTTGTGGAAAAAGCTCGAAATGATTAAGCTTCGTCGCCGTCTCCTTCTTGGTTTCCCATTCCAATCTCTGTATATTCGAAGACGTAATTCTCATACTTCGCGCAAAAAAGAAGAGAGAGAAAGAGAGCAGAAAGAAAAAGATCACAGCCTTCTCTCACTCTCTCTCTTTATGCTCGCGTCTCTTGTAAGAAACTGGTGAATGTATCAAAGAGCTTCTCCGTTCCAGTCTCTTCTCAGGTTCGTCCTTTCTCTCTCATTCTTTTTCTGGTAGATGAAATGGATTTGAGCTGGCTGCATTGGCGACGATGTAAATTCAGTGAAATCTCTGTTTCCGATTGGCGGATTTTTCTTCATTAGGCGATTGCTATTGTAATCTGGTAATCTGATTCATGTGTGTTGTGTATTAGATACTGGTTTGACTGAATAGTATATCAGTTGGACTTTTGATTCCTTGTTGCTGGATCTGCTTCGTTTCTATTCGAATTGGTTGGCGTTTATGTAAATCTATATCCTGTGGGTTTTAGTTGCTTGGATTTGAATTCATTTTCCTCTTTAATTGTTAATGGAATTTGATTTACTGGAGAAAAGCGGAATCGCGTGGCCCGTAGAGTATAGACTCTCTATATATGTCGGGGCGTGGTATGGAAAATAATTGCACATTAATCTTGCGTACCTTTAATTGGTTCAATTAGTCTTGGAACCGCTACTTCAAGCATTGCTGTTTGTCTTGTTTTGTTATCTACATGTTAGTTGTATGGAAATGATTGGGTGTTATCGAATGTTTGGATTCGACATTGTAATCGTGCTCTCTAATATGGATTTTTCATGATTGTTTTGCAGGAGGCTGCTAATCTTTTAGTCATTTTTTTCGTAGATCTGAAGATTTCCGAGATTCTGTTTCATCTTCATTCAATCTTAAAGGGAAGGGAAACTGGCGGCGACACTGACTTGGAGACTAGCTGCCAGCAACGGCAGCAGTCATCCTACTAATGATCTGGTATATTGCGGTCTCCATTTTAAATGTTGTCATGAATCTCTCTTCAATCAATTATATAACTCAGTTTTAATGGTAAACTGAAGGTAGATTTGTAAATTAATTTTTCCATTATCAATTTTTGCATTGAGCACTTATGAAGACGGTAATTTCATTGTTTTGAATGTGAGCATGTCTAATACTGAAGCATATCAAGAAATCAGATTCTGAACTCATAATTACGCCTATTTAGTTATTTGGCTATCTGAGCTTAATAATGTATGAGGTAGAACTTAGAAGTGGCAACGGATGGCCGTACTGGTTTATTGAATTTCAAAGCTAGCCATATCACTGCAGTTTTCTTGGGGATCTCATCTTCAACTTGGTAACAATGGTTTGATATTTACCCCTGTTTACGTATTGGGGGAAATACAATAAGCTGCTGGAGGAAGTTCTATGTTTGCTTATGCGTAGCCTATCATCTCTATTTTGTGGGACATGTCACGGTATCTAGTAATAATTTCTACGTTCAATTGTTGTAGGAGAAAAATATGAATGGAAAAATTCAAGATTCAGAGCCTCCTACTCCGCATGCTATTATGAAGATGGGCTCCAGGTAAAACTAAAGTTGAATGTTTATTTATTTATTTCTTTAAGTTCATCGTAGGTTTGAAAGATGCATATTCCGGGGACAACTAAGATGCATTTATTTATAGGCATCCTTATATGCATTTATTTTGATCATATGTCTAGCAGAGATCGCAATAGCATGGAAGACCCAGATGGGACGCTGGCAAATGTTGCTCAATGCATTGAACAGCTCCGACAGAGTTCCTCCCCTGTGCAGGAGAAAGAATTTTCTTTGAAGCAATTGCTGGAACTTATAGATACACGTGAGAGTGCATTCAGTGCTGTTGGATCTCACTCTCAAGCAGTTCCAGTACTAGTTTCTCTTCTCCGCTCAGGATCCCATGGGGTGAAAATACAAGCTGCTACTGTTTTAGGTTCCTTGTGTAAGGAAAACGAATTAAGGGTAAAAGTTCTGCTTGGAGGATGCATCCCCCCATTGCTTGGTCTCCTCAAATCAAGCTCGTCAGATAGTCAAGTTGCTGCTGCGAAGACCATTTATGCTGTTTCCCAAGGTGGTGCTAGGGATCATGTTGGATCAAAAATATTTTCTACTGAGGGGGTTGTTCCAGTGCTCTGGGAGCAGCTACGCAATGGGCTGAAATCTGGAAATGTTGTTAGCTTATTGACTGGAGCTTTAAGGAACCTCTCAAGCAGCACTGAGGGATTTTGGTCTGCAACTATTAATGCTGGCGGTGTAGATATACTAGTGAATTTATTGGCAACAGGAGAGCCAGATACTCAAGCAAATGTGTGCTTTCTCCTTGCACGTGTGATGATGGAAGATGCATCTTTTTGTTCCAAGGTTTTGGCTGCAGAGGCTACAAAAAAACTCCTCAAATTAATAGGCCCCGGCAATGAAGCTTCTGTTAGAGCAGAAGCAGCTGGTGCTCTTAAATCTCTTTCTGGTCAATGCAAAGAAGCACGTCGTGAGGTAGCAAGTTCAAATGGCATTCCTGCCTTGATAAATGCAACAATAGCTCCCTCAAAAGAATTCATGCAGGGTGAGTATGCTCAGGCGTTGCAGGAGAATGCTATGTGTGCTTTAGCAAACATTTCGGGGGGTTTATCTTATGTCATCTCAAGTCTTGGACAAAGCCTTGAGGCATGCACATCAGCTGCTCAAACTGCTGATACATTAGGGGCTTTAGCATCAGCTCTTATGATATATGATAGCGAAGAAGAATCCACCAGAGCATCAGATCCTATCAATGTTGAACAGACTTTAGTAAAGCAGTTCAAATCTCGTGGAACCTTTCTTGTGCAGGAACGGACCATAGAAGCATTAGCTAGTTTGTACGGGAATGCTATACTTGCAGTCAAACTTGCAAATTTTGATGCAAAACGTTTACTAGTTGGTTTGATCACAATGGCGACCAATGAAGTTCAGGAAGAGCTTGTAAGAGCTCTTCTTACTCTTTGCAAAAATGAAGGTAGTCTATGGCGTGCCCTTCAAGGCCGTGAGGGCATTCAGTTGTTGATTTCACTCCTTGGACTCTCATCAGAGCAGCAGCAGGAATGTGCAGTTTCTTTGCTTTGTCTTTTATCCAACGAAAATGATGAGAGCAAATGGGCTATAACTGCTGCTGGTGGTATACCTCCATTAGTTCAAATTCTAGAGACTGGTTCTGCAAAGGCAAAAGAAGATTCTGCAACAATTCTTAGAAATTTATGCAATCACAGCGAAGACATACGTGCATGTGTTGAAAGCGCTGATGC